TAGTTGAGATGTTATTTTCTTGAGAAAAAGAGTTTTGTAGATTTGAATTTTATCTTTAGAAGATAATGTTTTAATTGCAGATCCGTACATAATAGATAGATTTACTATAGCGCAAATCTTATAGTAAAAAAAATACAAGCGTAAATACTTATAATAAAAAATAGCTATTGGTTATAATAAATTACACAAACTACATTTGCTACACACAACTGAATCTCTACTATGCTCCCTGTATTTATAAATCAATTATTACTTTGCAGTTTAAAAAAATTTTATATGAAGGAAAGAAAGATTTCATAGTAGTTATACATATCAATTTTATGTAGACTCTAATTACTAACTTTTTGACGCTTACTAGTTCTGTCATTACCCTTATTATATACTAATGTATCATCGTTGCTAGCTTCTGTAAGTGCTCGTTCTGATGCGTCTTTTTTGAAGTTGGCACTATATCTTCCGATCCATCCCTTAATAGTTTTTACTGTTAGAATTTCCTCAAATGAAAGCTCACTATTTCTTGCCAAATCTTCAAGATCGGCATGCATGTCTTCAGGCAAGTAATGATCTGCAGCTTTTAAGTTACTTGCAAAGAAAAAACCTCGCAAATATTGTAATATGTTTTTTGTAATGTGTTTTCTTGCATCTTTATTATCGAGCTTCATATTCTCTTTTAGGGCCCAACCCACACTTAAGGGAAAATCCTGATCAACACTATAGAAATAGAGGTTTAGTTTGCGGAAATTATGTATAATAGTAAAATATACATAATTACCTTACATCTTTTATAAACATTTGGATATTGTAAATAGGGAAATTCTATTTTCACCTGGGTTAAAGTCATCTGAAATATTACTACTACTAATAATTTTCATAAATAACATTATAATTTATCGAGTGACTTTAACTCAAGTAAAAATAGAATTTTCCTTGTAAATATTCGTTAAGAAATATAAAATTACAATAGGAAGGTATATATATATATATTACCTCTTGTGATATCGGCCATTCAGTCAATTCATCACTATTAACTATGCAAAATTCATAGACGATAAGTATAAATTGCAATGATATATAGTTGTTATTATTATATTACCTAATGATAATTCTTTGTTAATTTTCTTGTTGGTCAGTGATTCTGGAGTCAGTATTGTCCATGTAGTTTTTGGTATAGATGGTGTGGAAAATGTTAAAGATGGTCTTTTACAAAATAGTAAAATCTGTACAGGTTGAAAGTTGTTCCACACACCTATATGAGGAAAAGAACAAGCACAAATATATTCTGCGAATTTGCCTGTTACAGGCCAGGTCCACTCAAACCATTTGGAAATACCAGGTATAGTTTTAGGTTTTTTACTAGTATTAGTCTCTGGTTTTTGGCTAATTATCAAAAATAGAGATTAGGTTATAGATTAACATTAATAAAGAATTTTAGTTATTTTTAATAATCGATTATTACAAAATTTTATTATTAACAAGAACTATGGTTATGGTGTTTGTGATGTATCATAATTTTTGAAGTAGCAAAAACCTGTATAATTATCATATGCAAGTTTCTACTATTATCTATTATGTTATTCTTAATTGCAAAGATTTGTTATTTTAATTTAATAAAGAAATTACTTTAATAATTTTGAGTCTGATTTTTTATCATTTTGATTATGATTTGGTTCTATGTGTGCTACAGATGTTCCACTTAGATTTTGAAGCACTTCTTCAATATTTGTCCTTTCGGGAAGATCACAACCAATTTTAATATATCTTTTAATTGTATATGCAATCTAAAATTGACTTTGTTATCAGTAGGACATAATAAAAAAATATTTCACTAGCAAAACTAAAAATTGTTGTTAAAATAGCACATTTCGAATGCAGTTTAAATTACCATTCGATCTATTATTTTACTTTATTTATAATTTGGGTCTTATGCGATATATCAAGTAGAGCTTGAGCTTACAGATTCCTTGTTTTGAATAATCGAATAATTTGGGTCAGCAAATATCTATTCAAATATTTGCTAAATGACTAATATTATTCGAATAAGTACTATTTATTCTGATAATATATAGTTATTCAAATAAATTTACTTATTTGAATAAGATTTGTTTATTTAAATTATTCGTCAGATAATTATTTATTCGAATATTCGTCGAATGCAAATATATTTGAATAACAAATATAAATATGAAGCTCTAATATTGAGTGTTAATTTGAGCTGTATTCAAAATATACTTTTTTTTTTTTTTTTTTTTTTTTTTTAATATGAATTTGACTAATGTATATTAATTCTACTTGCAGTTGCATAATGAGAATCAACAGTAGTTTTAGCTTCTCCAGGCTTAAGAAAAATCTATCTGCGTACTTCTATATTGTACCAACTATGCCAGTAACTAATAATTGACATTAATTCCGAGTTATGGTAGTGTTCTTCATTATTTGAAATAATTATAATTCAATGTGGCCTAGGATCCATTGTCATTAATACTGCTTCAAAGTATGATGCGGTGAACTATGCGTCTTGTTTAGTATCAGTACTCCAATAATCATACGCATGAATATCCAGATTATCACTATTATCTTTGTCTTTTTGAAATATCAAGATTGTATGAAGCATCCACCCTCTCTTTCCAAAGAACTGGCTTTTTGTTTCTCTAGCTGTTGCAGATAAAATCTGCATCTTATAATCAACTATAATAATTGCTCCATTGTTATCAAGCTCACATAATGTAGAATTGAATTGTGCACTTAGGTATGTTTTACGAGTTTGATGGCCCAAATAACATGTTAATTGTTCCTGATATTCCATAAGCTTGGTGTAATATGAGGTATCTAACTTATTTATTAGTTCTTCAAATATGTTGAAAAATTTATTACATTTCAAACATCATGAAAAATGCTGAGATTTATATTTGCCAAAAGCAAACAACAAACAATAATTAATACATTCTACATGATCAATAGTACCATTTTTATTTATGATCAATTCTTTTTCATAATTTCGGTTTAGGTGACGGCGCAATAATTCTATTTTATTAACAAGATCATCCTATAAATTATATAAGTTTGTTAATATTATATAACAAAATTTTTTAATATTTGGGGCATCATTAATCAAAACATGTTATAGTGAGATTAAAAAATTATTAATAAAAAATTGTATGTAACATAAAGCGTCTTTGATTATTGTAATTATCTTTGTTATTGTCTGACATTATTTATTAAACAAATAATATATTACAATTAATTATAAATAGCAATTTTTTAATCTCACTATAACAGACATAAAATTTTATATGTCTAATCAACATTGTTATGACATATTTTGTTTGACGATGCCCTATTTGACTAACCTGTAGTGATTTATGTGAAATGCTCTTATTAATTATTTCAATTAAATCTTCAAAAGGTTGATACCCATAGTCATTACATGTAATACATAACACTTCCAGGTCTTCCCGATATTGAAAACAACTATTTTGCAAATGGTTCATGAAAGATGTACGCTTCATTCCATCTTGGATAAATAGCAGAAAATTTTTCCTAAAGCACCTCTTTTTGTTCTTTTAGATAAAATACAGATAATTGCATTTTTTGATCTACTTAATAAGAGCTTATATTTACATTTTCTTTATCTGTAAAAAATAATTCAAATTCTTTCTCTTTAACAATAGACATTTTTGAGCGAGTAATGGTAGGTCTTTCTAATGCAATGCACCCAGGCCTGTTGATACAGGAAAATTTTTGTGCTATATTGATTGTATTAGGCAATATCTAAATTCAAAAATTATGTAATATTATTATGGTGTTTTTTTTTATTTTAAAATTTAATAGAGGAAAAGTTCAAGCCATTATTTTACAAATTTGATCTAGATAAATTTTCTTATTTCTAGTTCATCTGTTAATTTTTGATATGTGAAATTCTCTGCAATAATTGACAATATACGAACTTTTCTGTCGATTCCTCTAGTATTTGCACTATAACTACCACAAAAACAATTTTACAATGCCTTCTCAGATGAAGTTTGTGGTGATATATTTGTTTTATCTGAGAAAGTTTGTAATGATATATTTAAAAACCCATCTTCATATAGATTTTTAAGAGTATTGCGATCTTTTTCAGAATCAGGTGCATTCATCCAAAATTCAACCTATATTATTTATTTTTCATTAGTTGTTTTCAGATATTGTCTTTGTTATATTATAAATACTGTAAACTGCTGATTTATAGATTTTTCTATAATTATATCCAGCAACAATTTAGAGTTATAAGCTTTTGGTTTTATAATAATTTGATTAATATCCTCATAAATGTTCTGGATATGATATTAGTTATTGTAAATACCGATTATACAAGTTGGCAGTTTACAGTATTGTATGAAAAAAATATGCAATTCTTGATATAAGAAAGATAATTGATGAATCTATAGTGAAGTTTTAGAATAAGCTAGGTATTCTCTTTATCTGATCTTAAGTATAAAGCTAATAAGTTATATAAAATTTAGGTAAGCTTAAAATTATTTCTATAGCAGTGCGATTATATTAGAATTTGTTATATTAACACGATACTTTAGATTAGATTTGAGGCTACTCTCTTTAATACGAAGGTTTACAAAACTTCTTATATTAAAGATGAATCGAATATCACTAAACAAAATTATATAAGTTTAGTTTTTAGATATTTGTGCACTGTGCAAACTAAATATCTGAAGTATTAAATAATAATTGTAGCCTGAATTTTTTTTATTACCAGTACACTTCATAACATTTACTAATTCTGCTAATTTGACTTTATTTCATTGTATCAAAAATATAGAATTTATATTCATTTCAGCAAGCTGATAATTCTATACCTCGTGAAGTGCATTATTTCATTTCATATAATTTTGCTTAGTATTATCAGTATTTATTTATGCAACATATGAGTGCTGACAAGGGAAAACTTGTCATTAGGCTTTCAATTATATTTTGTGTTCATTTTGTTTCCTAAATGTTGTCTAAAGAAAATCTATTATAATTTTTTTTTTTTTTTTTTTTTTTTTTTTTTATATCTTCGCAATGTCATGGAAAGGTAGATTTTTATTAGGTATTTTAATAGTATATTCTTAGTTAGCGAGAGTACATATAGCCACATGTGCAACTTTTGGTTGCCTAATTTAAGTAGTCCGCCCAAAGGTTCTACACTATATGCCATACCTGTAATCTAACTAGGAGATTACCTATTTAAACTCTCTGACGTTCTCGGT